TGAGAAAAAATATAGACATTTTTAAGAATTGTTGGTTGCGATTCTTATAGCGCGCGCCAATCCTGATTCATGCGTAACTGAGAGCACTCATTCGTTAATTAAAAGTTGTTCTCATTAAAAAAAATGCTCAGACGCAATTTTGCCAGAGAGAAAAGTTACTTCTTTTGACACATATAATCACGTTATGCATTCCGTGTCTGTGAATTCTGGGACACCCTGTATATACAGGGTGTTCGGTAATTGCCGTCTAACCACTCGTAGGTAAATACAAGGGGTTCTATTCTAACAAGAGGAGATCGCGAAGTGTGGGTCACCGATTTTAATAAGGTTTTTTTGTAGTATAGTACTGTACCAGAAGAATACTTGAGCAAAGGGATAGGACGCATCTCTCAGCCATTTTCGAGAAAAATCGATTCAAACTATATGGATTTACTTATATACGTTACGTTAGAACGGTTTTCCACAATCGCGGTGCTTAAGCGCCTGACTACTACGCTTGAGACTAGGGTTCGATTCCCGTTGGTTTTTTTTTTTATGTAATATAACAACGTATATATGTATATTCATGTAAAATGAAATTAATTTTATCATTAACTTACTTTTTTTAGTGTATTTTTAAAAGGCAATATTTTTCTCATTTTAATTAAAACTTTGTTTTACATTTAATAACGATAAAAATAAAAGTATGCAATAGCACAGGTAGCACGTTTCCTAAACGCAGCCAATGCTTATTGTTTTATGCATGTATCCAATAAAATAATATAATTAATATAATATAATATATAATAAAACAAATACAAAATATTATGAAATAAATAAAACATCAGTATTTGAACATAATTACAATTGAAATTCAAAATTAAAAAACAATTGAAAAAATATTTTGCCAAAACACATTTATTCATTTAATAAAATCATCAAAATAATATCATATCATCCAAATAATTGTAACCCAGAAAGCGTAGATAGTGAAAATGAATAAATGTGTTTTGGCAAAATATTTTTTTCAATTGTTTTCTAATTTTGAATTTCAATTGTAATTATGTTCAAATACTGATGTTTTATTTATTTCATAATATTTTGTATTTGTTTTATTATATATATATTATGTTATATTATATTATATTATATTATTTTATTGGATACATGCATAAAACAATAAGCATTGGCTGCGTTTAGGAAACGTGCTACCTGTGCTATTGCATACTTTTATTTTTATCGTTATTAAATGTAAAACAGTTTTAATTAAAATGAGAAAAATATTGCCTTTTAAAAATACACACTAAAAAAAGTAAGTTAATGATGAAATTAATTTCATTTTACGTGAATATACATATATACGTTGTTATATTACATAAAAAAAAAAAAAAACCAACGGGAATCGAACCCTAGTCTCAAGCGTAGTAGTCAGGCGCTTAAGCACCTGCGCTACACCGCGATTCTGGAAAACCGTTCTAACGTAAAGCTGGGTATACACCTAGCGAACAAACGCCAAACGAACAGCGAGCGCAAACGTTTGTTATTATCATTCGTCAGATTTATACGCCAAAACAAATGCGAACAGAACATTTGATTCGCATTTGGTTTGGTTCCCTCATGAGGCATTTGTTTTGGCGTATACATCTGACGAATGATAATAACAAACGTTTGCGCTCGCTGTTCATTCGGCGTTCGTTCGCTAGGTGTATACCCAGCTTAACGGTATATAAGTAAATCCATATAGTTTGAATCGATTTTTCTCGAAAATGGCTGAGAGGTGTGTCCTATCCTTTTGCTCAAGTATTCTTCTGATACAGTATTATACTACAAAAAAACCTTATTGAAATCGGTGACCCACACTTCGCGACCTCCCCTTGTAAGACAAAAAGTTATATACCACTTTGCAAGATTCGCAATAATTAACGAAATATTAATTAATAAAGATCCGCTAATCAGCGTGCATCCAGCGTAAGGACAGCCGAGTCTGTCGCGCCGTAGCGACAGAATATAATAGCGCGGATAGCGCGCTGCCCGAACGCAGCCTATATGCTGTCTATGTATGCACATGTTATTCTATTAGCTTCTCCCATTCCGTCGCTACGACAGACTGAGTTGTCCTAACGCTGGATGCACGCTGATTAGCAGATCTTTATTAATTAATATTTCGTTAATTATTGCGAATCTTGCAAAGTGATATAGTAAGTACAGAACTTTTCGTCTTAGAATAACCCCTTCTACCTACGAGCGGTTAGACGGCAATTACCAAACACCCTGTATACAGAATGAGGTAGTTAAAACAGGCCACCTGAATAACTTGAAAAATATAAGTTTTATAGAAAAATGTTTAAGACAAAAGTTATACGGTTTTGAGAGAGAAAAATGATAATCCTATTAATTTAATTACAGATGACGTTACTTGTAAGATTGCATTATAGCGGCCATTTTTTTTAAATAAAAGTCGATTGTTTTGGAAACAAAAGTTGTAAGCGGCAATGAGACAAATAAGGTTTTTTTATTTTTTGAATTTGAATTACTTTTCACTGAGTTACAGTGTTCCAAAGTTTACGCACACTCACTCACACACACACACACACGCAAGCACGCACGCACGCACGCACGCTACACACACACACACACGCGCGCGCGCGCGCTACACAGGCCATCTGAACAACTCGCTTACTTTTCATCGTAGAAAAATTACATCAAATCAAAGTTGCTTGGTTTTAAAAGAGACATAATCTGATATTAATAGTTTGTTTTTATAGGTGAAAGTGTAAAAGAGATCAAAGTCATCTTCATATTTTTAAGTAGAATGTTCTTTTATTTAATAATTGGTGATAAATAGAGATTACTCTCAGGCTCAATAAGTCTTTTATAGTATATCAATATAAGGACATGAAGAGCCGTTCGCAGGATGTTGTGCGTGAATGTGCTTAAATATATATATATATATATATATATATGTATACACATATATTTCGAAATAATTTTTTTCCTCCATATAGGATGCTGGATTTGCATCACATATATATGAAGGACCCCGTATACCCCCTTAACTAATTTAAAATATTGCGAAAAACTCCTCAGCCAGGAGTCGAACCTGGAATCTCCGGCTTTCCGGGCCGTCGCCTTTCCTGTTAGGCTACCGAGGCACTTGGAGTTTGTCTCAATACTTCGTATATCTATCAAATATGTTCAGATTTTTTCTGATACCGCTTCTTCCTCCAGCGTAAATTCTAATAATTGGTGATAAATAGAGATTACTTTTTTTATTTATTTTTTGATAAAGCGTTTTAAGACGAATGCAATAACCTATAATTGAAAATTTTTGTTTTTTTAGATTTATATTTATGAGGAAAATTGAAACAAGTATACCGTGACATACCAATAACAAAAGATGACATGCAAGAACGTATAAGAAGAGCTTGCTCTGTGATAGATCCAAATAAAATTCGTCGTGCAGTGTTATCCATGTCGGAACGTTTTAGAGCATGTATCAATTTTCAAGGTCACCATTTTGAACACTTGTACTAAAGGTTATTGCATTCTTAAAACGCTCTATTTTTATCTATCTACTTTGGAACGCTGTAACTCAGTGAAAAATAATCCAAATTAAAAAAAAAAACTGTTGTATTTGTCTCATTGCTGCTTACAACTTCCGTTTCCAAAAAAAGTCGACTTTTATTTTTAAAAAATAACCGCTATAATGCAATCTCAAAAGTGACGCCATCTGTAAGTAAATTGATAAAATTATCATTTTTCCTCCTCAAAACCGTGTAACTTTTGTCTTAAACATTTTTATAAAACTTATTTTTTTCAAGTTATTCAGGTTGGACTATTTTAACTGCCTCACTCTATATATACATATATCCAGGGTGTCTGATATATATAACGAACAAGCCGACGTGTGTAAGTAGTTCTGTTAAATCTGAACAGAAAGTTAAATACCATTTTGCAATATTTGCAATAGTTATTGAGATATGAATTAATAAATGTGAGCCAATGATCGGACTTTGCAGCAATGCTCGCTGCGTACCGCCGAATATCGCCTGATTGCAAAAAGCTGAGTCGCGCCACGTTTGTTTGTTTACTCCGCCTCTCGTTGGTAAGATATTACTTAAGAAAAGCTATTTTTCTTTCCAGCTGATAATCGTGCACGCCTATAGAATCCGATCATTGTTTTCCGCGCGCTTATTGGCACACAATTATTAATTCATATCTCACTAACTATTGTGAATTTTGCAAAATAGTAAATAACTTTTCTGTTCAGATTTACCCGATCTACCTACACACGTCGGCTTTGGTCGTTTGTTGTCAGACACTCTGTATATATTTCGCAAGAACATCCAGCGTTGACTCTTATTGACCGGTTAAACTTCGCGTTATTGATTGTAAATCTCAAAAAGCGGCCCACTGGTCTTGCGGCCTGAGTGCAAGGGCTGCGAATCCGGAGGTCCCGAATTCAAATCCGCTCATAACCTAAAGATTTTTTCTGATCCGATCCCCTTTAACCGAGTTTATCGGTTGATTGGCGAACAAAATTGGACTTCCAAAAATTAATTCGGATGTAATCCCGAAATAATTCCCCTCCCACAAGGCAATTGTAGTTAACATCTTGAACACAAGCTCGACACAGATGGGCACGCCTACTGTGAAGAAAGGCCGCGTAGTAGTAGTGTACTGCGCAATCCTCCTTACGTTCTGAGAATATATAAAAAAAACTTAGACTGGCGTGTGGACTAACTCTTACGGCCCAAGAAGCCATAAATGCATTAAACCAAACCAAATCTTAAGAACCTCAATTCTTCGTTAATTTGTTTTTATTTATAAAACTTTTTTTGAGTATAACTTTTTAATAAACTATTTTTTTAGCTTCTCCAATTGATTCTTTATTTTAGTAATGAAATAAGCGGTTTTTAAAAAACCGGATTAAAAAAGCCAAAATAGATAGGTTAGGTTAGGTTAGGGTTAGGTTAGGGTTAGGTTAGGTTAGATTAGGTTAGATTAGATTAAGAAAAAGACATTAAACTGTATAATTACCAGAAGTATTTCGAATAATAACGCATACGTACACCCTGCGATGCCAGTGCTTGCAGAGCCTGTCCTTCCAAATTTCGTACTCTCGTCGTTACTCGATCTAGATCTCTCTGCAGATGTTGCATGGTTGTCGCGATCTGATTTAGAAATTCATTGGACCTATTGTCATCTTTTTTTGTTCTCTGTCTACCTCTTTCTCTCGTCACTTCTTGTTGTAACGTCTCTGCGTGACCGTTAGCATTACTGTATCCGTTAGTTAATTCAGTGTTCTCTTGTGTTACATTCTCCGCATTTGAATAATCAATTCCGTTATTTGCGATAGTTTGTCCCTTCAGTGTAGCTGTAACGGACTTGGACGTATCTTTTTGCGTCCTTTCCGGCGCGGACTACAACAAACAAAATAGAATTAACTTCTCGAGATGCAAAATGATAATTGTCATTAAATGATATAAAATTTTGGTAAAACTAGATAATATATAGGGGACTCAGTTCTGATGATGTTTGCCTTTATATATGTTGTTCAGGACATATATCCGAGTAACAATCAAAAGATTTTAGCCGTCGCTTATTGTTTATTAAACAGTTATTAACAAAAAAAAGTTTCATAAATAAACCTTCGTTTTTCGACACTATATACATTTGAGAAGGAAAAATTTACTTTGTATCATACATTATCGTACGTATATGAACAGGGAAAAAGCAAAGCACTTCTCCGCATCTCCCTGAAAAAGTCTGTGTTACTACAATATCATTAATTGTCACAATGCACATTGCTTGTTAATATATGCTACTATCGCAATGACATATAGATTGGGTTAAAGTTTTTTTAGGTTTTTTTAAAAGGAAAAACCTTGCCCTTCCTTTGCCCACACGTGTACGATAGTATACAAATAAAAAAAGAATATAAGAACACAAAAAAAGAAAAAATAGTTTTCAAAAAAATCGAACTGTGATATTTAGAAAGTTGTGCAAACGTAAATTAAAAGTTCACAAACTCTCTTTTAAATTATCTAACTGTCTAACAGAACTACATAACGCATTGTTCAAGCGATAACGTATACGATCGAAAAATCCAAACTATAAAGCTCTGTATGTTGAATATTTGTGTATAATACATCATATATTATTTCTAAAATGTACAGTGTAAAAAAACAAAGGTTTCTAAAACTTCTTTTTATTAATAACTCTTTAATAAACAATGAGCAATGGTTAAAAAATCTTTTTGATTATTACTCGGAGACATGTTCTTGACAACATATGTTAAGATCAAGGTCATCCATGCTAGGTCCATTATTGTCTAGTTTTACCAAAACTTTAATTTGTATACTTCAACAGTGTCTATGAATTCTTCTTCTTCCCCGTCGGTGTCCTGTGGCAGTGGGCTTGCGGTGCGACTACTAGTCGGACTAGTTTCTAAACTGCTTGTTATATGCCGAGAAGTGTTGCAAACTCTGTGAGGTGACGTTTCTCTAGATGCTATTTCAATAATTTTGATAAACAATTGCAGAAAAAATACAGGTACGTGTAAGTTAATGTTTATATTAAAGAAACAAACCGAATGGTGAACCGGATAACGGTGATCCTGGCTGGGAGCGCATCCGCTCTAGCACCGGTCCCACAAGCAATTCTAAATCCTCGGTCGGTACACTCTCATAAAAAGAATCCAAACTACCAAGAAATGTTGCCACATTATCAGTATAAGACATAGTCTCAACGATCTGAAAAATACAGCAAAATTCTTGTATTTGATATTTGCGTATCTCTCTTATGTTCAATCTGCGCTTTAAGGGAATCTTTCCCAGAGCGCATTACAAATAAAGCTACAGTCAGTCAGTCAGTCAGTCATGTTATTGCATATTGAATTGCAGAATCAATATTCACCCTCTTCAATTCCTCTACGTAATTATTCATTGCTTCCGTACGGCTCATATTGCCGAGACGTGTCCATGCATCCCACTTGGCCTTCTTGATTACTTCCCAAAACGCGGGTTTTGGATGTTGACAGGGCCCCTCCGTCGCTTGTTTGTAATATGAATAAAAGCGCAACATGATCTCATGGCTAGGTTGGTAAGCCCCTAAACATGAATTACTTGATTTATTAGCGTGATATCTTATGCATCGAGATTGATTTTAAGAAATAAAAGTCTGTTTTAAATAAACTTCTATAATGCAATGACTATATATACTGTTACGGCCGCCCGGTATTAGTAGCCGCGCCGTTTATATGGAAGAAAGAAGATAGGAGAGTTGCTCCTGATGACGATTATTTGGTGTTGACAGATTTGGTTCGGTTTTTGATGCGATTTGAACGCGCGAAGATTGTGAATCTGTATAAATTATAACGCGTTTCTGATTGAAATTAAAAAAGTTTCTTAAGAGTTCTTGTGTTTTTATTCGGAGGCTACGTGACGGTCGTAACAAGTTTTTAGGACTCGTTCGGGATCAAACAAACGGAAAATGTGAAAAGGGAAAGGAAAAAGAATTTATCGGAATGGAAACGCGAGTCATGAGTGCAACGACGAGTCAAGGAAGAACTCCGTGGAAACCGCGCCTGAAACTTCACCAAAAAAGAGGAGCCGCTTGACAGAAGCTGCAGGTGAGTCTACTGCTATTCAAGCTCCACATAGCACGACGTCCTTAGGATTATCCTGATAATATCCAAGACGGGTCAGGACATTTACAGGACATTTTAAGATATCATTATAATCCCATATAGCACAAGACGTGCTTAGGATTATCCTAACAATATCAAAGACGGCTCAGGACATTTACAGAACATTTTATAGTATCATTATTAAATGTATCATTCTTACTATCATTATTAAATGTATTTTATGAAAATTTACTATACATACATGATAACTTTTAATTATATAGAAAATTTAATGTAATTTAAAATTTTTATGTAGTATAAAAAATATAAATGTCCTCTGGATAACCACTGGATGCCTAGAGGATATCTACTTTATCTATTATCTATATTAGATGTTGATTTTTCTATTGTTCTCTGGACGTTTTTCAAACATGAACAATCGAGATCTGTTAAACTTTATTATATTATGTTGGAGATCGAGCTTGTGCGCGTCATAATCGGAAGACCCACCAGAGGCGCTCTCGTCTCTTGTCTAACTTTCTTCTTTACCCGCCACTTACTTCCGGCTCTCTCTCGCTTGAACAACGACAGACGACATCGAATCGTCCGAAGTGCTCACAAAAGAAGTGCAATCTACACAAAGACTATTTTTGTTCGCAGTAGTGTACTCTATATTCTGTCATCTTTTTGAGTGTAATAAATATTCAGTATTCATAAAATTCGAGGTGTACAACTACGTTTCTCGCCCGATCACCATCGCCCTTCCTCGCTAATA